GTATATATATATATACACATGGAACGAGAGAATGATTGTTGCGAATCCTTTTAGCCTTAGGCTCAAGCCGGCTGTGTTAAAAGTCTCAATTAATTCATGTACATGCAAAAAGGAAGTGAAACTGCTGGTTTCACACCCGTGACTCTGGTTTCGCTTCCGTCTGTACATGTTGGCTCTTTCACTGTACATGTTTCAGTCTACTCATTCCTGGCTCTCAGTTCTTCTTCTTCTTCTTCATGCTTTTGCGTCGCTTCATCCTTCTCCATTTCTGCTTTGCCAACTTCGTCATCTCTGACTCTGCTGCGGGCTCGTTGACCATACACATTCCTTCAGAATCGCTCTGATGTAGTTCGTGTTCATGTCCTTGGTCAGTGAGTCGACCAGCGCAATACTCGCGTCGATCCAACGGATCTGGTCTGGATGATCCGCGGTGATCTCTTCTGCTTCTTCGCCATCCTTTTCCCAGATGGACTGTCGAAGAGCTGCTAAACCCAGTGACAATCTCTTGTCAGAAGTCTTGGCCAAAGTGGCAGAACGCAAGTGTTCTTGCAGAGACTCTCGCAGTCTGTCAGCCATAGGTGCCTCAAGAACTTCCTGCTGGGTTCCTCCAATGTCTTGTTGCAGCAGTCTCCAATCATGGCTCTGATCTTGAACCCTTCTTCCACTCCTGAAATCATGGGATTCTGCCTGCAGCGTGGATCTGCATACACGCTTGATCGTGGTCGATGACCATCCAATCGGACATATCTTCGTGACAATCTTGCATGTGTCTTGTCGACCAACAGCGTCATCCTCGCTCTTTGAGATCTGTAGGGTTCAACCTTTCCCTCCTGTTCCTTCGACCATGATGCATCACGGACTGTGCAAAGGATGCCGTCTTCCCATTTGATTGCTCCTGCCTTGTGAGTGCAGTTCATGCTTTGAGAATTCTTGTGCGTCCTCCACCACCGTGTTGCAGTAGTGTAAGTCCTTGATGGTGGTCTTCCCGCACAGTAGCTTAAGTCTGGCCTTGCCTGACGTGCAGCCCACGACAATGATCCGACTACGCTCCGTAGTTGGGCGTTTTCTGCATCGTTTGCCAGGTCGGTTCTCTTCATGCCTGTGCTGTATTTCACTGGCTCGATCTTTTCTGCTCTTGCAGTGCAGGTGACCTGGATGTTCCTCTGTTCGTCTTGCTCGATTTCACGTCCACAAAATCGGAAATTCTTCTCTGAGATCTTCGCCTTCTCCACATGAAATGCTTCCAAAATCTTTTCGATATACTGCTATCCTGACTTCGTGGCATAAAGCAGGTCATCAATGTGACATGCAACCGTCACCTTGATGTCACCATCTTCTTGGTAGGTGAACAATGCCTTGCGCGGCGAGTTCTGACTCAGTCCAATGTCTGTCAAAACTGTCTTCAGCCAGCATCAGCCAGCATCAGACGGGATGCTCTTATCTTGAAATCCGCCTTTTGGTGGTCGTAGCAGTAGCAACAACAGCCCGTCCAAAACCATTCCATGGAAATCACCAATATGCGATTGCGACGCCGACGCCACAAATCCAAAACAAATTTGACGCACACCGTGCGAGTAGCAAATTCAATGCTTCAACCTCAGCAGTCGGGGAGTTGACCGGATCTCTGAATAGGACTGTTCTATCCCCACTTGCGACAAGGCGACCCTTGTAGAGTGGAGTGTGCTTCTTGCCTTCTCGCTTGATGTGCTCGTTCTTATCTGTGTCTATCCACTGTGTTGGAATATAGGACTGTGACCTTCCTTCCAGTTTTGGAGAGTGGTTCCATAGATAATCGTGACTGCCATGAACTTCATCCACTTCTCCATTCTAGACCCGTCAAGTCTTTCTTGCGTGGACTTCCTTGCTTTCTCGCTCATGGTCGAACACTTTTCCTCGTGCCTTCTTCTTGGCATTCTTGCTCAGCTGGCCGTCTGCGTTGTACACAGTCACTCTTTCTTTCGCAAAATCAATTGCTAGGTCGTCCTTCTTTCTTTTGTCATTTTCGACTGCCTTGGAGTTCTTCAGGAAAATACGGGCTTGTCTTTCCTGTCCATTCCTTCCAAGTCTCCATTCAGGTAGGCTATTTCGGTGATTTTTCGTGATCTGGTCCTTCGTGACAGGACAGTCCTTGACATCGTCAATCGAAAACAATGCGACTCTCGGGTCGTTGTGTATTCGGATCAACATCCCAAGCTTGGTTCTGAACATAATGCCATCCATCCTTGCACTCGTGTCCTTCGGCAAGGTTCGTCACATCATATCCTCGTCCTGCGATGTCTACTTACTCCAGGTCCTGAAGTCCCTGTTCGATTCCAGGTCTGCACCAACGGCGATTCTTTCGCCCGTGACCCTGTCTTGTTCAACCTTCGGCGAATGGAAATTGGCACATCGTCTAGATGTTCCGAGCTCCTTCGTCTCGATGACGGAATCTGTTCCACACCTGGCTCTGTCACATTTGCACCTTCCTGCACCTTCTCCTTCGTCAATCAAACCAGAGATGTGTCTCCGGGCTCTGTCAGCTCAGTGTATAGCCGTCGCTATCATCATCTTCATTCTCCTCCTCCTCCAGAACAGGAGGTAGATCTCCTCCGGAACACGAAAGGTTTTGGTTCTGCAGGAATTGATATGCCAATGCTTCAGCTGCATTCACTGGTCGGAGTCTATCAACAGCTACACATGCTGGTGTTCCTCGGTGCAATACCCACACCAATTTGCTGCCATCGAATCCAATGATTCTGCAAGCTGTTGACCATCCGCTTTGATTTGTCCTGAAGCAAACCAAATCTCCTACACCATACTCCTTCTGGGCCTCGATGCACGGCTTGACATGTCTGCACGGATGAGTGCCTTCCGCGCCTCCTTGCGAATCTGGGTGATTGTGCCAAATTCAGTCGCGCTGTCGCTCGCCATCTGTAGCGATCCTAGATCTGCCCAGGAATCTTCTTCAAACACAGATCCTGGCTCTCTCTGAACTGGCGCGAATCCTTTCACTCGCAAGGTTCAACTCAGCGGTGGTTCGTACCACCATTGCCTTCAGCAATCCTCCGTGTCTCTCCGTTCGTTCTCAGGGCTTTCAACTCCAATGTTCGTGATGATAGTGCCTCTTGATGCAAGTCCTGATGCAAATTCTCCACGGTTGTGGTGTCACCACTTCATATGGTCGTCCTGCCCAGGATGACCATTTCTGTTGAAATGCGTCTAAGCAGGTCTTGGAGCTTGGCTGGCTTCCTCCAACTCGTACCTAGGTCAACCATATGGACAAGATGCTGTACCGGCGTCCTGTGCCGTCCTCGACTTCAAGGTTGTCCACTCCAACAGGTCTGTTGAATTCATAAGTTCGTGGCAGGCTCACCTTTGCTGTCTGTGCTCTTGGTTTATGAGCATCGCATCCTTCACATCTCAGAAAGCGCGCAGCTTTCACAAACTCTGGTTTGGCTCCTGAATCTCTGAGGATTTCAACTAGCACTCGCGTGGTGCGACGTGTCCAAATTGGCGATGCATCTTGTGCCCTGCGATGCGCGTGGCTTGTGGCAACAAACTTCCATTGCTCACGTCCTTCCTTTTCATCTTGGGGAAGGTTTGGAAGTGGAGTCTCTTCCAACATCTGCTCTTCCTGATCGAAGAGTTCTTCTGCCCTCTGTTGGCTTGCCATCTATTTCATGCTCTTGGCTTGGAACTCATCTCTGGCATGTCTAGAGGTCCAAGTTCTTCCAATCTATCTTCTTCCATCTCAGCCGGGAATGCGTGGCAACATGTCACGGTTGAGTGAAACATTTCTTCCAGTGCAATCTGGAATGCTGGGCACTGTGGGGCATCTTCCACAGTTCTTGGTGCTCGAAACTTGTCCCCAGTCCTTCAGTGGTTGGATTTCACCACTGCTGTGAATGGATATGTCTCCAGGTCCGTCCCACCTGGGAATGCCATATCCTTGAAGCATCTTGCAGTCTTCCCCAAAAATGTGCTCAGGCATTTCTAGCCGTCCACACTCTCCACAACATCCATCATTTGGTTGTGATCGTGTCCCAGACCTTCTTTGATCACAGTGACGCGCTGATAGAAGTTCTTGTCGAGGTGCTTCATCAGGCCGCTGAACGAAGCATCGTCCGTGATCTCCATGATCTTGTGTCCTGCCGGGGTCAAGGGACATGCAAAGCCCAACAAAATGAGAAGTGCTAGATGCTTAGGTCCACCACCTGTTATACCTCCACCTTCTTGTCCCGTCCGCCTGTTCAGACCTTGCGTCCCAGTCACCGCGCTCGCGCGCCATGTACGCTCGCTTGGCGACTCGGTCTGTGGTGAAACAAGACTGCGATGTTTCAGCAATCAGGGAATCTTGCGTCTCCATCTTCTCAAGGCCAGGCTCTTCACGCCCAACAGGCTCTGCGATGAAACTAAATTCTTCTTCCTTTTCAAATTCTTCCTTCTTGGTCTCCTTGGCTGTCTTTCATGACTTCTTCGACCTTGGCTTCTCAGGCTCTGCGCTCTTCATCATCTGTCTCCGGAAGTTCTTCTTTTGCCTTCTTCCTTGAGGCCTTGAGCTCACTCCTTCGAGCTTCCTCCTTGGATTCTTCCCCCCCTTTGTTTCTCTATCTCTCCCTTGATCTGCCCCAACACCTTCTTGGGATCCTTATGTGCTGCCATGTTGAGGATCGTCTCTGGGTCGAGATCTTGCCCGATCTTCATCAGGCACTGATTGGCTGTCTTGCCAGTCCGATACATGGCATTGGCGGCATAGGTTCCATCCAGCAGGAGGCCAGCCTTCTTGAGGTTCATGCACAGCACATGCTTCTCTTCTGTGTTCAGGCTGTCAATAATGGCCATCCATTGGCTGGAGATTCATCCTTCAGCTTTTCAGCTCGCTCACGTGTCCTTGAGCGCTTTCTGTGCTTGGTCTTGCCCTTCTTCTCTTGGACCTTCCTTCGAGCTTCTCTTCTGGCCCTGTCTCCTTGTCTTTTGGTACGAAGTCTCTCCTTCGTTCGGTGAGCCCGTGTCACCGCAGCCTCTTTTCCATCGCTGCGCAGCCTCGCATCCGCCCTCAATACAGTCCACACGGATGGGTTCTGAACGTCGTCTTCAGGCCTGGCGTCGCGCCAATGCCCCAACGGCGCCTGTTTGATTGCATGACAGACGTGATAGGTCGCCATTCCGTCGTCTCCGTCAACCACTAAAATCACCAGGTTCGCGTTGGCCCGATCTCTTCTCTGCGACCCTCCTGTCATGCTCCTTCCGAGCGTGCTCAAACACTTCCAGATGGGATAGTGTGCCTTCTTGTTGGAGGCATTAAAGGCGCCATTCGAACATGTATCGCGCTGCCGATTCGAGAGCTTCGGCATCGCTGGTGCCAAACATTGGTTGTGGCTCCTCCTGATGTTTCAGTGACCACTTGACATTCTGTGCCAAACATGTTCCTTGGCCACCTCGCTGGTTGGCTCGCTTCGTCTTCTCAAATTCGAGGCCGCTTCCAACCACAAAGATCTTTCCTTTGTCGGTCATGCCAGGTCCAGGCTTCCAGCCACCACCGGCCTTGATGGCTTCTTGCCAATCTTTATAGTTGAGCTGCTCTGTCTTCTCCATTCCCACCAATGTGACTGGCGGTACTTGAATGAATGCCTTCTTAAGTCAAAACCAAAACAGCTGCGGCATCTAAACATGGACCCTTCTCCTGTCCAGTCATGTCCAAGTCCAAGCTGTCCTCATGGTACCGAATCGTGAGCGCACATGTCGCAGGGTCGGTCCTCCTCGAGATGATCTCCATCTGCAAGGTGAGCTGGTTCGTCTGTGAACAGACAGCGTCGGCTCCCACCACTGCAGAATGTCTCAGTGAACTCGACAGTGCTAACACGGAGTGGTCTCAGGTGACGTGGCAGTTTGCCATTGCGGCATCGCATTCGTCTCCAATGCTCCATGGTGCAATGCTGATGCAGAACAGTCCATTCTGTTTTGCTCGGCGCAATCGATTTCAACGCCATGCTGTGCCAGCACGCATGTCCTTCATCAGGCCAAGTGTCGCCTGATTTGGCAGTTTTTCTTCATTGACTCCTTCATAGCTGAACTCGTCGAAAAGGGACTCATGTCCCAGGTTTATCCCAGGTCCATGCTATAGTACGAGTAGTCCTGATAGCCATCGTTACAGTATTCAGATTCTCATCCGTCGTGACTGGAGGAGCTGGCGTGCCAGGCATCCCATCCATCGTAACTGGATGAGCCGGTATGCTGTCCTGTGGATACCATTCAGGTTCTTCCCATGATCCATTCCAATCTTCGTTGGCCAGGTAGGCTCGTGTCTTGCCTCCCTTAAAGCCTTTTCCTTTTCCCTTGTTGCCATGGATGGATTCTCTCAAGGCATGTTGTTTGATGAGTGCTTCAGCTACAATGTCAAAGTCTAGGTTGTTGAACGTGGAGGTCACGATCATCAGGCGTTCAGTTGAGGACAATCCTGAATGATCCAACAAGAGCTCTCCCAGCAAGGTCTCTGAGAGGCCTATCTTGGGATCCAGCCGTTGCAACATGTCCCACCGTCGCCGTCTTCGTTCTACATAGCTGATCATGGACCACCTTGTCGGCTGAGTACTCCTGGTCATTGACCCATCTTGTACAGCTCCCATGCCTCAGCTGATGCGAAGGGGAAAATGTGCTTCTTCACCTTGTCGACCAGCGCCGGGACTGCTCGCTCTCGCTCGCTCGCTCGCTCGCTCGCTCTCTCTCTCTCTCTCTCTCTCTCTCTCTCTCTCCCTCCCCAGTGAGCCCTTCAACCAGCCGACTGCCAAGCTTCCAAAGCTCAGTTTTGTCTGTTGCGTTGTACCTTGCGAGAGTCCTAAACTCCCACTCAAAGAAGCCACTCGGGTGTCCATCGTGGACTTCGTCTCCTGAGTCTTGTGCCCACTCTGCGGTACCTGCTCGTACTGCAGAGTGGAGGCGGCCATCTGAGTTCTCCACAGTGGGTGCTGTTTGCCTTGCTTGCTAGCGGGATAGCAGCGTGGAGCTTCGTCACAGCTTCGCTACCAGTGCGAATACTTTTAGCCTCAAGCTCAAGCCGGCTGCGGTAAAAGCCTCAGTTAATTCATGCACGTGTAAAAAGAAAGTGAAACAGTGCTACCGGTCTTATGGTGGTTTCACATATGGATATATTATGGATAAACCAATATATACTTATACATACTTATACATATGGAACGAGAGAATGATCTAGAATCCATAAAAGCAGAGTGGTAGTCTAGTCCACCTGCCACGATGCCATTTCATGCTCGGTTTCGATATGGCTTATGGCTTATGGTCATGGTAATGTCAACGGGGTCAACCCCGGTTCACCCTGCAGCTCTTGGGTTTGGAATGTCTAAGTTATGATATGTTATGATCCACTCCTATGAGCCCCAGTCTTGACACTCCAAATCCTGTTTAGCAACCTCCCTAATTGCTTTTGTGCTCTTTAACTTCTTACGAAGAAGTGCAGAATGCGGACCATTTAGGAGCACTTTGTTGGGGACCCCAATTCAATACCCCGCAAAAGCTGCCCAAATTCCAGCTTCATGGCGTAGGGCCTCCAGAGTAGCACATTGTGTGGCCAAAGTCTGTCTGTGATGCGGCTATGCCATGCGGGTTTTGTGCGGCGGGAAGGTCAAGTGATAATTAATTGAAGGCGAGAATGACCACTTCGAACTCTTGGAGTGCAGTTCCCGTTCGAAACACTTTGCCGCGTCAAACATGTGGCACTATATACTAAATCAAATGTCCATTCAATCCATTCTGCCGAACATATTTCTGCAGGTCAGGATTTGGTAGGCCAGGTCCAGGTGCTGTTTCCAAACCTCTAGCGGTCTACCGGGTCTCGACATATTCATCGAGCCCTCATGCATCATGCCCGGTAACCAAATCGGTGTTTGGCCTTGCTGCTGTTTTAGAGGCAAGCCTGAAGTAACCTTAACACAGAGCTTTTCATTGCGTGTTTGGTCAGTCTTGTCCTGGATGAGGTTGTCATAATCTAAGCGAGGCTGGCGTCATAGCCACTAGGCCATGGGTGCTCTTGCCAAACTAGTCCACACAACGAATCCGAAGATGCAGGGGCCATGCTGCTCTATCGTGCTTCCCCGAAACTTCGCAGCCCATCACACCTTCCGGATCTGGGAGGATTCTGCCTTGAGCCTCGAAACGCGCAGCATGGTGGTTTAGGCGGCTGAGCAGCTGCCCCCCCCTGCTCTGGCGCTCTTCCCTGCAAAACGGCGCACTTGCCATTTTCAATACCGTTATATACAACTACCATCAGCTACCCCAGTTGACACAAAAGCACCGCTTGGTAATACACCAACTTGCTACCGCTAACTCAATGTGACAAACTGACCACCCTGTATCACCCTGTCAGGTACAGTAAATCACCCGCTTGGCCTCGCAAGCTCATGCTCGATGCTCTCTCCGGGGCGACCTTGGGATTTGAGGACTGGGAATATTGTGACAGGAAGAATCTCCCGAGCCCTCACTCCAGAAAGTTTGGAATGTGTCGGTCTGCTGGAATTACTTTTGAAGCAGAAATCCTACACCACCTGGCAACTCAAAAAGGACACGTATGTGCTGGGATATGCTGAGGTGTACGAGTTCTTCCTCGAACATCCTCATATATAGACTTCGGCAACGACCAATGACTGACAATTTAACTGACGCTGTTAACTTCAGCTCGGTGTATATTATATATATAGATTTATCGATCTTAAAATCCTATTCATTGATTCATTGCTCTATTTGTCTGCAGACCAGTTATCCGCAAAATCGCAACGGGTGCTTTTCCACCACCAAAGGCTGAACATGAGGGATTCAATGTCAATATACTTTCGACAACGCCCCACAAGTTTACTAATCTTCCATTCAAGAACACCTCCACACAGTCCTTGCGGCGAACTCCACTATATAGTCCCTGTACAGGAAATACGAAGAATCCAATAAAATATTCCTATGGATTTTTTAACTGTTCCACAGATGGTTTTAAAACATTGGCCACCAACTCCCGATCCAATTCTCCAGAATCTTGTAACCCCAACAACAGTCCATCAACCAGCCTGTGTGACTGTGACACTGTGTGACCGGTTTCCTGAGGTCCCGGCTTTCCCACTCGAGTCGCGGATCGGAGACCTCCTAAGTTGGAGTTTTTTGTGCCTTGGAGCCTTTTGGTGAGCTCTAACAAGGTTGGCCAGGTTGTAGAAGTTTGGTCGGATCCATTCATCTAGTCTGTCTGGGAGTCTAAGTCGGGTAGCTTATAAATTATAAATTTAAAGACCCTTTCAATTCTTAACAGCGGGTCCCAATTGAGGTAAATGTTGGAAGAGTCTCCTCACAAATCCCCATTTCTCAGAGTCCAAGGAATGTTCAATATTTTTCTTTGAGTGTACCCTGGCAAGCCTCAAACAGCTGGTCATACCAGGCATAAACACACTCCAGTCCGTCATTCCGACGCTCCTTCTTCATTGACTTGGCGCGAGAAGCCTTTTGCTTCTCCTCTCGCCATGCTGCCTAGCCAAGCCACTGATCAGGCGTGGCCACCGCAACCACCGGAAGGGAGTGACCCGACAGTGGGTGCCTAGGGTTTGGCTCCACTAATAGGTTTGGACCCAAAAAAACAGGGAGCTTTACAAAATAGTGCGACAACAGGAATCGCTTGGGATTTGGCTTTGCTCACTAATTTTGGGCACTCATGTCCATATGACCCATGTGAGGCCAGCACCAACAAGTCCAGTGAATGCCATTATCCAAGCCACCACAAGAAAACACAAAAACAATTATCCCAGCAAGAGACCCAAAACAGTGTGTGTGAGGTATATAAGCAGAAAGTTTATAGAGATCTAGATGCATTGGGGTCGAGAGAGGTGATGGTGGTGATGAAGGTGGGGATCGTGGTGACGGGCGGTGGTGAGTGAGTGAGTGAGTGAGGTGGAGGTGAGGTGAGGTGAGGTGAGGTGAGGTGAGGTGAGGTGAGGTGA